CAATAGCATTATGTCCAAAAAAATAATGTACAAAGTTCAATTAAAAACACTTTATGGCTAAAAATTGCTAACCATCATCTGAGCCTACAGTGAGTGATAATCTTTTTCCTGGTGGAAGATCTTGCAAAAAACTCAGTATCTGCAAAGCACAATAAAGTGAAGTGCAGTAAAACGAGGTATGTCTGTAGACAGATCACTAGTAAGGAGATGAAACAGTAATCAAAACCTTCAAAAAAACAAACCCAGGATGAGATGACTTCTCTGGTGAATTCTACCAAACATTCAAAAAGATTTAATATCTATCCTCCTCAAACTCTTCCAAAAAATTGAAGAGGAGAGGATGCTTCCTAATTCAATTTAGGATGGCAACATTACCCTGATACCAATACTAGACAAAGACATTACCAAAAAAGAAAATTATAGGCTGCTATCACTAGTGAACAGAGATGCAAAAAAATCTCAAGAAAATATTAGCAAATAGAATACAATACATTAAAAGGATCATATACCCCTATCAAGTAGGATTTATTCCAGAGATGTAAGGATGGTTCATCACCCTCAAATCAATCAACATTATATAGGACATTAACAAAATGAAGAATAGAAGTCACATGATGATCTTAATAGATGTAGAAAAGCCATTTGACAAAATTCAGTATCAATTTATGATCAAAACTCTTAATAAAATGGATACAGAAGGAAAATACCTCAACATATTAAAGGTCATTTATGAGAAACTCACAGCTAACATCATACTTAATGGTGAAAAGCTAAAAGCTACCCCTCCAAGAACAGGAACAAGACAAGGATGCCCATTGTCACCACTCTTACGCAACATAGTATTGGAAGTCCTACCCAGAGCAGTTAGACAAGAAAAAGAAATAAATGATATCCAAATTGGAAGGGAAGAAGTAAAACTGTCACTATTTGCAGATGACATGGTTTTATATATAGAAAGCTCTAAAGAACCCACCAAAACTTTTAGAAATAATAAACAAATATAGTAAAGTGGCAGGGTAGAAAATCAATGTACAAAAATCAGTTGTGTTTCTACACACTGACAATAAACTAGCAGAAAGATAAATCAAGAATACAATCTCATTTACCATTGCAATGAAAAGAATAAAATACCTAGGAATAAATTTAGCCAAGGAGGTAAAAGATCAGTTCAGTGAAAATTACAACACATTGGTTAAAGAAACAAAAGAAGAAAAAAAGAAATGAAAGAGAAACCATGCTCATGAACTGGTATAATTAACATAGTTGAAATGTCCATAAAATCTAAAGCAATTTACAGATTCAATGCAATCCCTACCAAAATCCAAGCATTTTTCAAGGAGATCTAACAAAGAATCCTAAAATTTATATGGAACAACAAAAGATCCCAAATAGCCAAAGCAATTCTGAAAAAAAAAAAAAAAAGAACAAAGCTAGAGGTATCACAATTTCTGATTTCAAAGCATACTACAAAGCTACAGTAATCAAAATAGCATGGTATGGGCAGAAAAACAGATACACAGATCAATGGAACAGAATAGAGACCTCAGAAATAAATCCATTTATGGGCAGCTAATATTCAACAAAGGACCCAAGAATGTTCAATGGAAGAGAACCAAATTATCTTCAACAAACTGTGTTGAGAAAACTGGACTACCACATGCAAAAGAATGAAACTGGACCACTATCTTACACCATACACAAAAATTGACTCAAAATGGATTAAAGATTTGAATTTAATACCTGAAACCATAAAATTCCTGGAAGGAAATATAGGCAGCACACTCTTTGACATCAATCTTAGAAATATCATTTTGGATATGTCTTCTCAGACAAGGGAAACAAAAGAAAAAAATTACTAAATGGAACTACATCAAACTAAAAATCTTCTACACAGCAAAGAAAATCATCCACAAAATGAAAAGACAGCCTGCCAATTTGGAGAAGATACTTGCATATCATATATTCAATAATGGGTTAATATCCAAAATATATAAAGAAATCATACAACTCAACAACAACAAAAAAAACCTGATTTAAAAAATGGGCAAAGGATCTGAGCATTTTTCCAAAGAAGATGTTCAGATGAGCAACAGGCACATGAAAAAATGTTCAACATCACTAATTATTAGGGAAATGCAAATCAAAAGCACAATGAGATATCACCTTACATCCCTCAGATTGGATATGATTAAAAAGACAAAAGTTAACAAAGGTTGATGATATGGAGAAAAGGGAACCCTTGTACATTGCTATGGGAATGAAAATTGATGCAGTCAGTATGTAAAACAGTATGGAGATTCTTCAAAAACTAAAAATAGAACTACCATATCATCCAGCTATTCCAATTCTGGATATTTATCAAAAGAAAATAAAAATAGTAATTTGAAAAGATATGTGCACCCCTATGTTCACTGAAACATTATTTACAATAGCCAAGACCTGGATACAAACTAAGTGCCTATCGACAGATAAATGAATAGAGAAGATGTGGTACATATATTTACAATGGAATACTACTCAGCCATTAAAAAGCTGAAATCTTGCCATTTGCAACAACACAGATGGACCTTTAGGGTATTATGCTAAGCAAAATAAGTCAGATGGAAATAATAAATACTGGATGACTTCACTCATATGTGGAAGATAAACAAATACACGCATAGATGCAGAGAACACATTGATGGTTACCAGAGAGGATGGCGGGAGGGGAGAGAACAAAAGGAGTAAAGGGGAACTTTTATACGGTGACAGATGGAACTTAGATTTTTGGTGGTGAACTCGATGTAGTCTATACAGAAGTTGAAATACAACAATAGACACATGAAATTCGTATAATGTTATAAACCAATGTTACCTCAATAAAAAATAAATTGCACTTGGTGACTGGGTGATCTAATAATAACTTTAGTTGTTGTGATTTAGGCAATCTAGTCCTGCAAAAATATACATATAAATAAATAAAATGAAAATAATAAGTCAAGCTTTGGCTTTTATTAGGATTTTTAGGCACAGCTGATTGAATTCACAGTAGTTTTTAGAATTCTCATATCAGAAGTTCACAGGTGAGACATTACTTTACGTGCAAACATAAATTTTATAACTTAATGGGAAATATGACTTCAAAAGTAATTCTTGGATAATAATGAAAAACGAAACGAAGCCAGAATACTTGTTTCATGTTTTAATGTTTAATTATATTTAAATGCTTGAATATTTAAATCAAAATCAATGTTTTAAGGTCATCAGTAACTTAGCTTTGACTATAAAAGAAATCCTCAGATCTCTTACTCTTTGATCTTTTTTTATCTTCCTTTCCTTCAATTGCAACTTCTCTCTAATCGCTTTTGTCTGTATTTCTCAAATGTTCACATTAATAAAATAATACATATTTTCACATTTATAGACTAAATAAACATGATTTTGTGTTTGTTTTTTTAATTGACGTTTAGTTGACATACAATATTGCATTAATTTCAGGTGCAGAAATTTGTTTACATTACAAAATGATAACCCTGATAAGATTAGTAGCCATCTGTCATCATGCAAAGTTATTACAATATTGTTGACTCTATTCTTTATTATGTTGCACATTACATTCCTGTGACATTTATTTTATGACTGGAAGTTTGTACCTCTTTATCACCTTCACCTATTTTTCCCTTCCTCCCACTTCCACCCCTATGGCAACCACCAATTAGTTCTGTCTGTAAATATGTTTCTGTTTTGTTTTGTTTCTTCATTTGTTTTGTTTCTTAAGATGCCACATATAATTGAAATCATACAGTATTCTTTCTCTGGATGGCTTATCTCATTTAGCATAATACCTTCTAGATCCCTCCATGTTGTCACAAATGGGAGAATTTCATTTTCTTATGGCTGATATATATATATATATATACACACACACACCACATATATATGTATGTATATACACATACATATAGACCACATATATATGTATATATGTACATATATGTATATGTATATATATATATACACCACATCTTTATCTGCTCCTCTGTCGTTGGGCATTTAGGTTGCTTCCATATCTTGGCTATTGTAAATAATGCTGCAATGAACATAGAGATGTATATATCTTTTTGAATTAATGTTTTTGTTTTCTTTGGATAAATACCCAGGAGGGGAACTACTGGATCATATGGTAGTTCTATTTTTAATTTTGGGGGGAACTTCTATACTCTTTTCTCTAGTGGTTGCATCAACTTACATTTCCACCAACGGTACATGAGGATTCCCTTTTCTCCACATCCTCACCAACACTTGTTAATTTTTTCTCTTTTTGAATAGCCATTCTGACAGGTGTGAGGTGATATCTCATTGTGGTTTGGATTTGCATTTCTCTGATGATTAGTGATGTTGAACACCTTTTCATCTACCTGTTGGCCATCAGTATGTCTTCTTTGGAAAAATGTCTATTCAAGTTCTCTGCTCATTTTTTAATTGAATTAATTTTTTCTTCATATTGAATTGCATGAATTCTTTAATGTTTTGGATATTAACCCTTTATTGGATATGTCATTTGCAAATATCTTCCCCAATTTAGTAGGTTGCCTTTTTGTTTTGTTCATAGTTTCCTTTGCTGTACAAAGCTTTGTAGTTTTGTGTAGTCCCATTTGTTTATTTTTGCTTTTGCTGCTCTTGCTTGAAGAGATGTATCCATAAAAATATTGCTAATGCTGATGTCAAAGAGTTTACCAACTATGTTTTGTTCTAGGAGTTTTCTGGTTTCAGGTAGGTTTAATATTTTAAGTGACTTGAAGGTTTTATATTTAATTTCTTATAAATTATAATTAATTCTGTTTACACATATGAATTTAAAATAAATGTTTTTCTTTTAATTTATACCTGAACTTTTAGTTTTACTCTTAGTGGATCCAAGGTCTTAAAGAAAGTTTCCTATTGGTGAACTTACATTTAATTAACAAACATTAATGTATTAATCTCTCTGCTAAAAACAAAAACAAACAAAAAGTGTGGGAAATTTTATTTATTAACCCATGTAAACCTAACACTGGGGAAGTGGTGCTGGGGAAACAATTGAACGTGTTACAAACAATACTCAACAATATAACAAGTACTTATTTATCATTCATTATCCATCAGGCGCCTTGTTCCATACAATGATGAAGACTATTGGCCTTACAGAGCTTACAGTGCATTAAGAAATACAAATAATTAAGCAAACAATGGCCCAAAAATAGCATTCAATATTAAGATTAGATAAGTACAGGGAGCTATGAAAATATATATTAAATCTTTATAACTCAGTCTGGAGTGGAGAATGGTCAAGGAAACATTTTCCTCCAAATGGTATTTCACTTGGGACCTGAAAAATAAGCAAGAGTTAAACAGTTGAGTAAGAAAGGGAAAAATGTTTGTTAACCTAAGGCAAACAGCATATGATTAGATTAGAGGTAAGAGAAAGCATAGCACATTTGACGAACTGAACAAAGTTTACTGTGTCTCCATCATTATAAGCATGGAAGTGGGAGAGGAATGAAGAGAAGCCAAGGCACAAAGGGTCTGCCAGGAGATGGAAAAGGGTTTAAGCAATGAAACGCCACTGAAGGGAAGTAAGTAACTGAGTAATGTGGTCTGAGATGAGGTTTAGACCGTCTCTATGGTCACGATATGGAGAACAGACCTTGGCAGAAAAACTAGAAGCAGAGAAAAAGACTAGTGCAACAATTCAGGATGATAAGGTCCGTATGAAGATACGTAGATTCCAGAAATAGTTATGTGGTAAAATTGACAGGACTTAAATGAGTGTTTGAACACTGAGAGTGAAAAGAAGGAAGAAGTCATGATTGATTCCAAGGACTCTGGATTGGACTAGTGTGGGCATGTCACTACCGTTCACTGAATTAATGAGTTTAATTTTTAACAGGTAAAGATCGAGAGACCTTGAGATGTCCAAATAGAGATGTCCAATGGGCAACCAGCTGTAATAAGGTCTAGGCTAGAAATATTGGTATGGAATTTATCAATAAATTGATGGCAACTGAAGTTATAGAGTGAATGACTTCAGCCAAGAATTGTGTATGATAGAGGATCCACACAAAATTCTAAGGAATACCAATATTTAAGAGATCAGAAGAGGAAACAGATGCTACAGAAAAGACTGAGGAGGAATGACTGAGGAGGAATGACTGAAGAGGTAGATAGAAATTTGAGAGAACACCGCATCACAGGTGCTGAGGGTAGAGAATATTTGGAGAAGAAATAGGTCAGTAATGAGCAATATTGTTGAGAGTTAAAGTAAAAGCTAAAAAGTCCTCATTGTATTTTGCCAGAAGAAGGTCATTGGTGAAATGATGAGAACACTTTGGTGAAATAGTAAGAAAAACAGAAGCCAGATTTTAGAAGAACTTGGAGTAAGAGGTAGAAAGAGGGGGAAAGCAAGTATAACCAATTTTTAGGAAGTTCAACTTAAAAAGGGGTGGAAGAAATTGGCCAGAAACCAGAAGCCACATGTGGTTAAGGGGAAATTTTCTTGTGGCTCTCATATGTTTAATTGCTGATAGGAAAGGAGGCATAAGAAGAGAGAGATTAGGGAGATAATTAATGAAGGGATCTCCTTGAAAAAACTAAAAAGGATACAATCTGGACAACTTGGGAGTTCAATTTAGACAAAAAGAGGATACTCCTTTTTTGGAAATAAGAAGAGAGAAAAAAGTAGTAAGTAAGATGCAGACCAATGTGTAAACTCAGTGGTAGAAAGTTCAGGAAATATATCATCTGAGGACTTCTTTTTAAAAACAAAACAAAACAGAGAGGAATTCCAAGATGGCGCCGTGAGTAGTCCTCTTTGTCTCTCGCCCTTCGAGTCTACAATTATTTGGACACTTATCGCTTGACAAAGGATATCCAGACAGCATCTCAGGACGTCTGAGACACCCACGCGACTATACATCGGAAGGCGGACGGACTTTCCTCCGGGAGGATGTGGAAATAGGTGAAAACTCTCCGACCCCGACGGGCAGCCTAGTACCCGCAAGCGGCTTTCTTCCAACGGACGCCCCCAGAGGATCCACACACATCTAGGGCAGGAGCGAGAACACAACAGAGGAGCGACGGTGGAAACAGGTGACCAGAACCCTACTTAAACCCCCCGCAATTACTCCTAAACGCAGAGGGAAACTTTGGAGTTGCACACCTGAGCCCGCGGGCAGAGTCTCTCCCCGCCATTGGCGGGGAGACCCGGGCCTTGGTGCTCGGAGTCACCCGGAGTTCTCAGAAGAGAGACACGGAGGCTACGGAGTCCCCCAGCTGCCGTTGCCCGCCCGTGGGACTAGGGATTGCCGGAGATCTCGGAGAGGACCGGGCGGGGGAACTTTCAAAGGCGGGTCCGGCGACCCGGAGGGGAAGCGCCGGAGCTCCGCCGGGCAGCAGACAAAACTCTCTGTCTGCCGGTAGCAGAGGGGCCACGCTGAGCATTCAGAGCTCCCGGCAGAGGCCCGGAGAGAAGCCCAGAGGGCGGGGCGACCCCCAGCTGCCGTTGCCCACCCAGTGAGGCTAGGGATTGCCGGAGATCTCGGAGAGGACTGGGGCTGGAGAGAGTTCCAGAGACCCAGCTTAGTAGCCTAGGGGGAAACCCTACAGGCTCACAGAAGCCTTAGGGAAAGCCTCTGCACAGCACCAGTAGAAGGCACCCAGCCGCCAGCCACAAGGCTGGAAGACCCCAGGGCAAAAGCAGCATAGCTAGGTGTACTAACCACAGACTGTAGAAGATGCCAATAGCTCTCCTGCGACCCATAGAGGACAAGTGAGATTTGGTGGGTGCCGACAGCAACCGAGCGACAAATAAAAGTGATCCCACCCCTGGCCGCTGGAAAAGCCCATAACACCGTTGCAGACCCCAAGGAGAGAGCGCATCTAGGTGGGCAACAACAGTAGGCACCTGCAGCCTGAAGCCCCCCGTGACGGCCCCCACGGCAGAGGAGGGAATCCAAAGGGCCACTGTGGCTACGAAGAGGGGCCCAGGCCCAGTTAGCAACTACGGACAGGGTTCCTGGTTGGTGAAGTATAAACAGCTGCTCCCCCCACCGCAGCAGCTGAAACAAGTGAAAGGAGCAACTAAACTCTATCTCCATGCGGAGGCACAAATCAACATCATCAAGCAATATGAAAAAATACATTAAATCTCCAGAACAGAAAGAAAGTAACAAATACACAGAAAACAATCCCAAAGAAAATGAGATATATAACCTAAATGATGATGACTTCAAAACAGCCATCATTAAAATACTCACTGAGTTAAGAGAGAATTCTGACCGACAACTCAACGAGTTCAGGAGCTATGTCACAAAAGAGTTTGATACGATAAAGAAGAACCAAACAGAAATACTGGAAATGAAGAACACAATAGAGGAGATTAAGAAAAATCTAGATGCTCTGAACAGTAGGGCCGATAATATGGAGGAAAGAATTAGCAATTTGGAAGATGGCAATATAGAATTGTTGCAGGCAGAGGAGGAGAGAGAAGCAAGACTTAAAAGAAATGAAGAAACTCTCCGAGAATTATCAGACACAATTAGGAGATGCAACGTAAGGATTATAGGTATACCAGAGGGAGAAGAGAAGGAGAAAGGGGCAGAAAACCTATTCAAAGAAATAATGGCTGAGAACTTCCCAAATCTGGTGAGGGAGATGGATCTTCAGGTGACAGAAGCCAATAGATCTCCAAACTTTATCAATGCAAGAAGACCAACTCCACGGCATATAGTAGTGAAGCTAGCAAAAGTCAACGACAAGGAGAAAATATTAAGGACAGCCAGGCAAAAGAAACTAACCTACAAAGGAACCCCCATCAGGCTATCAGCAGATTTCTCAGCAGAAACTTTACAGGCTAGAAGAGAGTGGAATGATATATTCAAAAATCTGAAGGACAAAAACCTACAGCCGAGAATTCTCTACCCAGCGAAACTATCCTTCAAATACGATGGAGAAATAAAAACTTTCCCAGATAAACAAAAATTAAGGGAGTTCATTGCCACAAAACCTCCTCTTCAGGAAATCCTCAGGAAAACCCTCATTCCTGAAAAATCCAAAAAAGGAAAGGGGCTACAAAACCAAGAGCAGAGGAGATAAGTAGAAGGACAACAACAGAGAGTAGCAGCTCTACATCAGAACAGATTAAACCATGGGACGAGAAACAAAGGAAACTGAAGAAAACCGGAAAACAAGACACAAAATGGTAGTGGTAGGCCCCCACGTCTCAATAATCACTCTAAATGTAAACGGATTGAACTCCCCAATCAAAAGACACAGAGTGGCAGGATGGATCAAAGAACAAGATCCAACAATATGCTGCCTCCAGGAAACACACCTCAGCCCCAAAGACAAACACAGACTCAGAGTGAAGGGATGGAGAACAATACTCCAAGCTAATAATGAACAAAAGAAAGCAGGTGTCGCTATACTAATATCAGACAAGGTAGATTTCAAAGCAAAACAGATAAAGAAAGACAAAGAGGGACAGTATATAATGATAAAAGGGACTCTCCACCAAGAAGACATAACACTTATAAATATATACGCACCCAACACAGGAGCACCAAAATTTGTAAAGCAACTCTTAATAGAACTAAAAGAAGACATCAACAACAATACAATAATAGTAGGGGACCTCAACACACCATTAACACCAATGGACAGAACATCCAGACAGAAAATCAACAAGGAAATAATAGAATTAAATGAAAAATTAGACCAGATGGACTTAATAGATATATATAGAACACTTCATCCGAAAACAGCAGGTTACACATTCTTCTCAAGTGCACATGGAACATTCTCAAGGATTGACCATATTTTGGGAACCAAAGCAAACATCAATAAATACAAGAGAGTTGAAATAATATCAAGCATCTTTTCTGATCATAACGCTATTAAACTAGAAATCAACTACAAGAAAAAAGCAGAGAAAGGTGCAAAAATGTGGAGACTAAACAACACGCTTCTCAACAAACAATGGATCATTGAAGAAATTAAAGAAGAAATCAAATATTATCTGGAGACAAATGAAAATGAGAACACGACATACCAAATCATTTGGGATGCAGCAAAAGCAGTCCTAAGAGGGAAATTCATCGCAATACAGGCTCACCTCACTAAACAAGAAAAAGCTCACGTAAGCAACCTCAAACGACACCTAACAGAACTAGAAAAAGAAGAACAAACAAGGCCCAGAGTCAGTAGAAGGAGGGAAATAATAAAAATAAGAGCAGAAATAAACGATATTGAAACAAAAAAGACAATAGAAAGGATCAATGAAACAAAGAGTTGGTTCTTCGAAAGAATTAACAAAATTGACAAACCCCTAGCCAGACTCACCAAGAAAAGAAGAGAGAAATCGCAAATTAATAAAATCAGGAATGACAGAGGAGAAATAACAACAGATACCAATGAAATACAAGAGATCATAAGAGAATACTATGAAAAACTATATGCCAACAAATTGAACAACCTGGAAGAAATGGACAAATTCCTAGACTCCTACAATCTCCCCAAACTGAATCAGGAAGAAATGGAGAATCTGAATAGACCAATCACAAGTAAGGAAATAGAAACGGTAATCAAAAACCTCCCCAAAAACAAGAGTCCAGGACCAGACGGCTTCTCTGGAGAATTCTACCAAACATTCAAAGAAGACTTAATACCTATTCTCCTCAAACTGTTCCAGAAAATTGAGAAAGATGGAGAACTCCCTAACACATTCTATGAAGCCAACATCACTCTGATCCCCAAACCTGACAAGGACAACACAAAGAAGGAGAACTACAGGCCGATATCACTGATGAACATAGATGCAAAAATCCTCAACAAAATTTTGGCAAACCGATTACAGCAATACATCAAAAAGATTATACACCATGATCAAGTGGGATTTATACCAGGGACACAGGGATGGTTCAACATCCGCAAGTCAATCAACGTGATACACTACATTAACAAAATGAAAACCAAAAACCACATGATCATCTCAATAGATGCAGAGAAAGCATTCGACAAGATCCAACACCCATTTATGATAAAAACCCTCAGTAAAATGGGTATAGATGGAAAGTACCTCAACATAATAAAGGCCATATATGATAGACCCACAGCCAACATCATACTCAATGGACAAAAGCTGAAAGCCATCCCTCTGAGGACAGGAACAAGACAAGGGTGCCCACTTTCACCACTCCTATTCAACATAGTCTGGAGTGCTGGCCAGAGCAATTCGCAGAAAAAGAAATAAAAGGAATCCAATAGGTAACGAGAGTAAACTCTCGTTGTTGCAGACGACATGATCTTATACATAGAAAACCCCCAA